GAGGGGGAGGGGGAGGGGGTGGGGGAGGAGGCAAAGCAGGTGATGAGCAGATTATCATTATGACAACAACAAAATACATGTAGCATTGAATGAAAGAACCCAATGCAGGTTGATCAGCAGGAGATTATTGTAATGGCAAAAGCAAAAATAGCTTTGAATGAAAGAGCCTCTATGTCATTTTGTTGTTGTTGTTGTTGCTGTTGTTTGTTGTTGTTGTTGTAGTTAATGATGTTGTTTCTTGTTGTTGTAGTTGTTGATGTTGTTTGTTGATATTATTGTTGTTTTTGTTGTTGTTGTTATTGTTGTTGCTTTTGCTGTTGTTGTTGTTATCGATCCGGCAACAGATGGACCCTCACACTTCTGTCCAATGCCATGAAGTTTTAAGTGCAGGTTTGCTGCAGATGCTGTAATGTTCCATAGAGTGTGTTTGTCAGTAAAACATATCTTAAACACAGAACTCTTAGAAGGGACATAAATGGTCGCTTTTAAGGACAAGCAGGCTAACCCAGATTTCGGGGGGGGTTTCCAGAAATCTTGACCTACATCAAAAGTAGGCATTGCCCTACGTATCAGAGAAGTTTGGCTTCAGTGGTGTGTATATTTGTTTGGTTATAGAGAAAACTCTCCTTGTCTTTTAAAGAAAGTGAACAAGGGGCAAAAACTTTACCATTGATTTTCTTAAAACAGCATTTTTCGGGATAGCCCCCTTGTGCTTAAAAGCGACTAAATATTCAAGCTTCAAGAACCAGAGGGAAGTTCAGAAAAAAATAGTGTGCATATGCATGCTTAAAATTCAAGTAAAAGATAAATGAAAAAACAAACAAACAACCCCGCACATACTTCACTGAAAGAGGGAAATCTGTACTGAAAACTGAAGACATACCTGGTAGCTTTGGCCTTGTGGCTGTGTCCTCACCTCTTTGATTACAAAATACAAACTCCTCTGTAGAGGACTCTGAAATGGACAAAAAATAATCATGCTTGATAAAAAATGATAAATCTCCTTCTTTATCAAAGCTGCATCGTACCCTGCCTAAGTAAGGTAAACTTAGTCTTACCCCACAACAATCTAAGTTGTGTAAAGCATTTGTGTGGCATCCATGCGATAGTAGGCGCTCGTTGAAATAACAATAGATAGCATGTGTACAGCGCAAATCCCCGCTCAACAGCAAACTCTAAGCGCTTCACAACCTATACTATTACCCCAGCAGACCTGAGAGCATTCTGAAACAACCTCAACTTCCTGGAAAGCATACAGTGCAAGCAGCCATTTATAGGCGCTAAAACACTAACATACTGACAAGACCTTTCGCTGTCTATGGCCGAGTACCCATTCCCACTTGGGTGAAGTGAGGAAAATTCTTGTGAAGTACCTTTCCCAAGGACACAACGTCAGGCCCGCGGCTCGAACCCCCGACCCCGCAACCTCACATTTACGAGTCCGGTAGCCTAATGAAATCAGAGAAATCAGTATCT